TTGAAGTTTCTGAAACTTTTTACAGATTTCCAAAATGTCGCATACGAAAGATTTTATGGGCCTTCAAAGTTGAAGGTGCGCCTTCTTAGAATTTTGGGTTTTCCACTTCTAACAGAAGTACTTTCCGGAGAGTTAGGCAATCCTTGTAGTTTTCTGAAAGCGCACCTCAGGCACAATCAAAATCTACCTCAACAAGTCAAAAAATACGTCCCAAGAAAGTTATTCCCCTCTAAAATTTTTTCTTCGCCGCGTCCCGTTCTTCCAGCGCCCGGGTGATACCTGCCGCGCTCCAAGGCTGACGCGCAATGCAGACGCTGTCTGCGGCGCACAGACGCTTTCTGGCGCAACGGATTCATGTCTAGCACTCTTATTAACAAAAACAGGGGGTCGCAAAAATCCCGAAAATGTTCGAACGTGACGGTTGACCCTGCACTGAGGTCACCTGTGACAATTATAGCTTCTTGTGACGGAACCTCAGCTGTCTTCTCATCAAGCAGGTTCCAGAACTTGTCTTTGGCTTGCTCGGAGCATCCAGTCTGCGGAGCGTACGCAGAGAAGAAGTGGTATTTTCGTTGTTCGATGACGACAATGATTTTCATTAAACGGTCGTCGAAGCGCTCCACGCTTACTATCGAATCACGAAAGCGTTCAGAGACAATCATCCCGACGCCATTGGTGGTTCTGGGACCGCCACAGAGAACGGTTGCAGCAGGACCATCTCGTTTCCTGCACGGCACAGAAGTCTATTCGTCGGCGCTCTAGCGCTTCTGTCAGCTCGCTGGAACGTGCCAACATTTAATGTTGCAACGCGAGTCTTCCATACGTTGCGGGACTTTTGGACTAGCCTAGTTGCCCCCCGATGCCGTCCTTGCACCGGAGACCCTCGCATACTTTTCACACTCGCCGGGCTTTGCGAGTGCGCGTCGGCTCCCGCGGACGCCGTAGCATTATCTCGAGATTCATATAGCGACATTAACATTTGTGATGTGACGTGGGTGTTCGTAGGCCGGCCTGTCGCCTGCATTCGAATGTCCGTGTTCAGCTCAGCCACAAAGTGGGCAGTTCCCAGTGGCACCCCTTGGAGGAACGGACACCGCCACCAACGTGGAGTTGATTATAAAATAATTTAAGGACTTTTAAGTCGAACTCACTGTGAACTAAATCGCATTGTTTGGTGGGATTCTTAACTGGAATGTGGGTTGAGCGACATGCCAGTTCTTCCGTGGGATGTAGAACTCAATTAGACTTTAGATCTTGACTTGGTCGCTTCATAACAGCTTCTTTTTCTGGGTTTAGGAAGGCGGCAGTGAGGAGGTAGGCCTGCATTGGGTCATTTCCGCGATAGAAAACCCATCTTTTCCGGCTAGTTCTGACTATCGAAGGGAAGCATTGTATTCTACAGACTATACTTGTACTTAGCCCAACCCACATTTCGCTGGATACCTAGAACTGGGGAATCGCCGAATGGCCTAATCCATGACAATACTTCCACTATTTCT